ATTTCGTAATCATGACACCAAACCGTGCTGCAGTATTAGAGTTTCCTTCTTACGTAACTGTTATGAAGAATAATAACCGATGGAGGCTTTTTAAAGCCTTTTGTATTTCGAAGAATAAATCCTAGAGATTTGTTTGCCTCTTTAATAATCGTGTCAACGTGATCGGTGAACCGCAGTTGACTATCAATAAGTATTCAAAGATCCCTGTGGTATTAACTTCTTTGAGTCCATCACTAGCCAGTGAGGAATCAGTGAGGTATTTGTTTTGGTTTCTGGTAAATTTTATGTGATAACATTTTGATGTATTTAGGATCGTTTTATTCTCTATGCACCATTTTTGTATATTATTGACGTCTTTCTGTAAGTATATAGAGTATTCTATACAAGAAGTTCTTTTTAACAGCTTGAGATCATCACCGAAAAGATATATGCTGCTATGATTGATATTTCTTACTATATCATTCGCAAATACATTGAACAACATTGGTCTCAAAATTGACTAGCTACAATATGTTGCTCAAAAGATTGTTTAAATCTCATATCATTAATCATATTAAGATATAGTACGTATCATAAATGTTATTGTTAATTCTTATCCTCATTTATTTCCGAATAAACGAAATAATTTAGTCAATGGAAAGAATACTGAGAAACTGTTTTGTTATGTTAATATTTCCCGCCTTTCAGAGAGCTTTAAAGTGTTACTCATAGCCTTGCTTTCTCGGTTTTCAAGCCTAATATATACCAAGAGGTCAGAGTTTATATTCAAAAGCGGCTGATCCAGATCTAGATTTTAGGTACTTACATAACACATTTATATTTCTGGTTGGTTATGTATTCCTAGTATGTTTTAGTATGAAACCTGGATATACTGATTTGCTATATGGGTTTTTTCTCAGCTTGTCCGGTATTAAACACGGAATAATGAAAAAAGGTTGTATACAATTGTTGATGACATCAATAAAAACATACTGACTGCCCATTGCACGATGTTCATTAAAAATTTAATTAGTTTTTAACCAACATAATTTTTTTATTTGAGCTAAAAGTCATCACTTTAATGGACGTTTCTGCAACTGGGAGCTAATGGTATAAAGTTGTTTATTTTCTTCCGAGATTTATTAAAGTTGCTTATTAGATTATTAGTAGAAAATTAATGAAATAGTGTGATTTAGCAATGAAGGTGGTTTTTAGTATATTTTTTATTAATATCTTTAAAATTTACTGTTGGGTTCTGTTAGTTAGGTTTATAATTAAACCTAAAATAACCACCACAGGTTACCACATACTAGTTTAGTTAAAATACTACTATAGTTTTGTTTTTTATTATGAACTTCTTCAGCTTATGTATACCGGATACACAACATTTAAGAATAAATCTAACCCCAGTGCTTTGGATATATAAACTTTTTTTATGTAACCTTTAACATTTTATGTAAAATTTTCATAATAAAATGGACTTTAGAAACTACATCGTATATAAATAGGTCATTGTAGTAGTCCTCATGTAACGATCTACTGTACTAATTAGATTAGCTTGCTATAAACTATCTGTAATATATTTCATGTCCTAACATTAATTAAGTTAGGAGGGTACATTGGTCTTTTTTACATCACATTTTATTGCTAAGAATCTAAAAGAGGCACTGTGTTTTGGAAATCTGAAAGAAAGAAAACACCACATCACCCAGACGCGAGATAATACAGACAAGTACATTTTCTATACTGATCAAACTAGTGTGGAACTGCACCCGGGACCTCAGACGTGGCGACACCATGAAACCATCGTCCGCCAGAGCATAGTATATGCACATATGCCTAGACTTATAGATAGCCTAAGTTTTAAGTTCTTTAGGACTATGTTATCCTAGTAGTTAGGTAGTTACCAGTACATGTACTTAGAGCTTAGACGATGTATGATGTTTCTATATTTTCTGTTCACTTAGTACCTCTTAAATAAAAGTAAGGTACAAACTAACCAGTTAGCCATCTTCCCTAGCTTTCGCGGTCGCGGTATGTGAAAAATATGCTCCAATTTGTGGTATATTAGGAAATATTTAAAAATACCACAAAGAAAGATCTTTGTGGTATTTGGACCTCCGTAGCCGAGTGGTTCGCACGCAGGTTTCAATGTATCGCCATCTCTGAGGTCCCGGGTTCGATTCCCGGTCGAGTTAATATAAAAAATTAACTTTTCTACATTGTCTCGGGTCTGGGTGTTGTGTTACCTTCGTTGTCACAGATACTCCATAATACGGGGGCTTTAGCTACTCATCTTGGAATCTGAGTAATGTATGTGATGTTGATTAATATTTAATAATATAATATTTTAATGTAAGTCAGTGATAAGAGTGCAGTTGGCAACGACTCTGATGACGTCATAAGTATGAAAACAAATCACATAGGGCTTCAAAGAGTCTATTAGGCATGATTTTCTGTCACTATTAACAACCGTATAAAAATGTATAAATATTATGTCAACTCCAAAATAAAATAATAGAAATCACCCTTACGCCCTAGGGAAACGTTGATGAACTTTAAATGTAAAATGTATTCATGCGAAGCCAGGGTAGGACACCAGTGTATTAGTATTTAATAGATATAACACCCAGTTTACAAACGCATATTTAAATTCTCAATAGTTAAAAGCGAAATTTTCAAGAATATTCGTTAAAGTCGTCTTTAAACCCCAGAGGAAATTTGTGCAACTAGGTTTTAATATAAATGAAATGATGTACTTTTTTAAAGAGATTTTGTAGGATCTTATCTAGACGGATTTGTGTTATTTAATTACAAAGATCTCAAGGCTATTCTCCAGTTCCATCATGAGAACCTGGACATTTTGGACCAAAGTCCTTATCAAGAAAAAACAAACGTGCCCAAACAAGATCTCATTAAAACAAAAAAATTTTTTGCTCATCCATTTTATGGTGGAATAAAGATATTTACGTACAAATTAATCCAGTACACAATGAGTTCCTTTTTTGGGTAGTCGTGTAATAATATAGACATAACTGCCAAACCCGAAATAAAATTGAAATAAATAAGTTAGTACCTTTTCTAATCAAAATCCTTCTAGTCAAGTCATAATACAACTCGTTTCTTTCAATTTTAGATCAATTTTGGCTCTCATGTTTTTTAAATTTTAACATTATTTTACTTCTAAACACGTGTAAAATTTCACTAAATCCACATCGATATTCGTTTAAATTGAAAAGAGGAAAATTTCATACGCTTTTGTTTTTAGACGTAGCTGGTTCTGTAGCAGCTACGAGGTCGTAGCAGATTCTATTAAAAAGCAATATCCTTTTGATTTCTAGTGTCCTGGTACAGGTACGTTCGATATCCATCACGTCGTTATTCGCACCAGCCAAATTTTAGCAATCGCTTAAAATAAATTTCTCGTATAAATCAAACTTTTTAGAGTAGCTGTAGTCGGCTTTAGTTTTTGAACTTATTATTTTATATAATTAATTTTCGGGTGTATTTAAGTAAAATCGCAAGCAAAGGAGATATTTGAAATTTGCTGATAAAGCTCTTTCATTTGATACCCTACATGGAATGATTGAATATTATGTATTTTTAGTGTCTTATTTAATGCTCTCTAGAGAGCACTATTAATGTAACGTCACATATCCTATAGCACGCGGACAACTAATACGCTTCTAATGTAATCTCATTTTTACAGTTACGATGAGAACTTTCGAAGTTTTAAGGGAACAGATGAACATTCGAGTATGTATATAATACATACTCGTACATACAGGCCAAAATCATAACCCTCCTTTTCGCTTCACCGTGGTCGGGTAAATATAGCATAATAACATGAAAACTAACTCTGTATTAACTCAAAAATGTTAGATTTTTTCTTCTCACCGTTGAAAGTGATGTATTTCTTCGCTCCTTTGCCCTTCTTGTAATTCCGCCATATACACTCATTAGTGTGATTAAAAATTTATTAAAAATTTAACTTATTAAACTATTAAAAAACACTAAAAAATACTATTAAAAACTATATACACTTATTAAAAATTTAACTTACTTAGATTGTTACTATATTTAGTAAGTGAGTTTTCTTTTATTATTTTTCTCTTTTTTAAACTTACGAACTTCTTTGCTAATAAGTCTTTCTAGATAGTTTGGTGTTTTTATATTTTTTTTTACGATTGACATTGTGTGCGGCTTTGTTCATACGTATTTTTGTTGTAGTTTTTTGTTGCTTATTTATCTCTTTAATTTAAATAAAAATATAGTTCACACTAAGCGGTCGATTATGAAAATATTAATAGAAAAATTTAATTACATCTCTCGGGAATAGAAAGTGTAAATAAGGTCTCGGGATACTAAACTAGTCAGCATGCTTACACGGTTACGCAGATCGTGAATTAAACCAATATAAATTCTTTTTAAACGGTGAATTGACACTTATTAAAAATTTAACTTACTTAGATTGTAAGTATAACATAAGAATTAAATACCAAAACGTTAGACAGAGTGTCATACATATACCCATCTCACTTATATAGGCAACGTCTGAATGCGTCATCCAGCCACAATGTATACGTATAGTATAAACCATTTGGTGAAAATCAATACAGTCTACATCACAGTCTAATTGTAACCCGATCGATCGTAACCCCGCGTGACGTCATTACACTGTATTGATTTTTCCTATCCGACTTTCTACCGCTTATGCGGTCCTGGCTGCTAAGTATGCCGAGGAAAGCGATTGCTAGAGGAAAACTTGAGAAACTCTCAGGGAAAATCTTCAAGAAAGTTAATCCTGGGAAACTTTTAATTCGCGAAAATCGAACTTCTCTATTTTCCAGCGTAACTTTCCCATGAGAGAAAGAGACGCCTTTAATGCTTATGCAGATGTGTTCAAGTTTTTATGCTATTATATTGAACCCCCAATGAGTAAGTGCTCAATTTGTGTACAGGGGACTGTCAACGTGATAATGTTTATTAAGGAAGTATTCCCGCATAATGCGTAAATTACCATTGGCAGTGTCGTCCGTGAAGCATCGTCACTCGACGGTTCACTTAGCAGTCCGCCTATATTACAGTATTTTGTCCGAGGGAGTTCACTTCCACACTATCCGCCGGTTAATCTGCGTTACAACTCCTCGCGCGCATAGTCGCCTGGTACTCCCGGTTCAGTTTATCCGAAACGTTTATCCGATTATATCCGGGTTATCTTAGCCGGTTCAACCAAAATGGCACACAGTCTGTTGTTATTTTCTATAAGTATAGGTTTTGTATCTTGTTTTAGTGAAAATAATTATTATTTTGAAAATCATAAATATTGTGACGATCTCTCTCCCTATTACGGTGACATCAATTTAGATTCGATCACCGGTATTTGGTACGGTGTAGAGAAAATACCACATTCGAAAGGCGAATACAAAATCGAGCACACAAGGGACTGTTTTTATATTGACATTAAGGAACTATACATTCAGGTTGGTGTTATTTTATTATTATGATACTTCCTCATTATATAATTTATGATTTTCCGTGTTCATAAAGGCGATTGTTTATATTTAATTTCCTTTTACTGTAATAAAATAATATTTTATTTATTACATAAGGACATTATTTCCTAGAACTCTTGTTTTAAAATACAAATTAAGCCCAATTAATTTTCTTTTATAAAGATTCTTGTCTTATGTCGTATTAGGTGTTTTCCCGCAACTTCACTTCTGTAAATTATAGTTTATGTCACCCATGTATGATGGAGCTTAACGTAGGTGAAAGTTTTTTTTTTAATCGATCCTGTTGTTTCGTAACCTATTCAATTCAAACAAATAAATCAAATCTTTCCTCTTTATAATATTAGTTTAGATTAGTATTTATGTACTTACGGTCAGTTGCACTAACGTCTATTAAGGTTTAATGACGCCTTTAAGCCCTAATTAATGTCAAATTTGTATAGGCATTATCGCTTATAACAAATATACATTTTAATGGACTTTTGTGCAACTTTCGTCGTTATCATTAATATCGAAAACTCTTTCTTAGTTATATAAAATATTTATACGCTGGTAAAAAGAATAAGAAGGATCTTAAAAATTAACCACGAACAGGATGTGGTCATTATTACCTTAATTGGTAGGTTAAGCATGTCATGTACGCGATAGTCAGAAGGCAGACAATGAGTCGATTCTAATTAGGAACTCGCCTCCGTACACTACACAACAATATTAAATTAACCCCTCGAATTTTAACAAATTTAATTATGCATATAACAGTTCTCGCCTTAGTCATCGCAATCTCGCGAGCTGCCGACGTGATGTTTTGTCACGACTTAGGACCCATACATGATTTCGATGAAGATACTGTGTTAGGGCTTTGGTATATAAACGAGTACATTTTCCATAATGATAACAAAATTTATACGGAATATAATCCTTATTGTCCTACAATACAGATTCGGAAATTTGAAGACTATGTTTACGGCGGCTTAATAACAAAAGACTTAGTAAGTGAGAGTTAACATTAAAAATACGACTGTTTTGTTCATAACATAGTACAGTTTATGGTAGTGATTTTATTTTCATTTTTTTAAAATACATTTCATTAATTCATGTGGATAATGGCGCAACCTTTGCATATTTTTGTAAAATTATAGGCAATAGTTTTGAGTATACAATAAACAAGAATAATTTTAAAAGTCGATGGTAGTGCCGTCTAAGAAAGCCCCCTGATTTTGATAGTCGAATTGTAAAAAATAATTAAAAGACTTTTAAATATTTATGGTTATGGTTTGATTTTTAAAGATGGGCTTTATTGCCTTACTTATAATTTTGATTTTTTTTCAGCCGACGCCGCCAACGCCATATCCGCCAATGACAAACTCTCCGTACGTGAATCATAAATTTGGCCTGCCTGAATATTATAGGGTCAGGCATTTCGTATTGGAGTGGCATGAGGGTCTCTGGCGTGACGATTACCATATCAAGGTTAATACTTCGCATAAGGGTTTTTGGCCGACGGATGTTCCGAACCGATGTAAGTTTTAATTTACTTATACAATATATTGTATATATTATACAATAGAATGTTGATGTAGATTATTACTAATGTTGATATATTGATTATAAAAATATTACACAACATCATAGACATTGCTCAGATTCCAATATGAGTAGCTAAAGCCGTATTATAGAGTATCTGAGATAACGAAGGTACTATACCACCACAATATCTAGACTTGAGACAATGTAGAAACGTCTATTTTCTAGATTGATACGGGAATTGAACCTGGGCCTCAGAGAGGGCGACATCATAGTACCGCCTCGCCTACGGAGATTGTCTATGATAACGATGTTTATTATAACGTTGAAAATATTATTGTTTTTAGTTTATTTGAAACAATCCTCACGTTTTGGGGAGCTGAATACATTTGTGAATATTGTAAAGTACTAGTGTCTTTCTTTTAACCGGTCAGAGATCTGAAAATCTATAACTTCCGACTAACAATAAATAAAGGTCATCGACAACAAATCCTAGACTAGTCTATACCCTAACTATTCATGTTAATAATGTTGACTGGATAGAGAAATATGCTCCACCCATAATTAATAAATAAAAGATAAAAGTATTTATTAGTAGTTACTTAGGTTATTTAATATCTATAAACTAAGCTAAAAGTTTAATAAAATTTGCTGGCTTGTTATTTTACCATAGACTACGAGACGAATGTAATTTTATCTTGGATCTCATTTGTTTATATGTGTATTTTTTTATTCTAGCCGTCGATAACATGTATCGTTTCTTCGGTGGCGTGATTCAAGTGCTGAAGGTGGCCAACAATCACCTCGTACTGAACTTCTGCATGCGTCTTCCGCACTCTCAGATGTTCAGCGTCGTCCTCTCCAGGAACGAGAATCAGTTGACAGCGGAAGACCTAGCTAGCATCCACAACGTTTTCACCATGAAACATTTATCCACTTCCTCCCTCAAAAGAGTTTGTGAAAATTCAGCGACAGATTTAAAAGTATCATATTTTATACTGATTTCTATATATTTGACTTTCCGGAGAACCTTATTTAGAATGGGCACTAATTAATTTTAAATTAAGCGATTATGTTTAAATTAAGTCTTCCTATTTGCAACTTATTTATTCTCGACATAATTAGAATTATTTAGATATATGACTGAAAAACAAATGAATTTGCATTTGTATCGATTCTATATGTAAAAATTTTTTTCAGTGTTCAAATTTGTTATAAATAAATAGTGTTATAAAAAAACATTAACCATTATTATTACTAAAGTTGGAAAATGACATATATATTGACTATTTTTTATAAAAATATATATATTTACTGTTTTGATATTAAATCGAATAGAAATGGAATTGTGTTTATTTATTTAAATACAAACGATTCGCTCTATTTTATCTAAACAGAAGCTCATTACGTTAACTATATAAAGCATTATCTTCAAACAAAATACATCTCAAAATCTTTGATGCGGTACCCAATATCAGAAAAGGCTCTATATGAACTTTTCTATATTATCATGGGTGAATATGTTGTGGTACCTTTGTGGTATGTGATATTGTCTATTTTTATTTATTAATTGCTTTGCACCCGCCTTCGTGGAATTCGGTTAATCGCCCTTCGTAGGTCGAATTATCAAAAACTCTAGTGCGAATATTCTTTAACTTTCTTTTGGCTCCAGTGCCTAAATAGAAAGTTTCATGTTTTTATCTTCGACGTTCAAAATACTTCATACAAATATTCATACCTTACATTAATCCATTTAAGCCTATTTTTCGCGATAAAAGCTATCTTATGTCCTTCCCAATGTGCGTTCTATCTATGTACCACACATAGACTGATACACACGCAGTCAGAGTTTACTGTCGCGTTTAAAATATTAGTATGGATTATTTTGATGTGACAAAACTTCAGTAAGTGTGTGAATATTTTTCAGAAGGTCGCGGAATAGTAAATTACTTCCTAAACTTTTAGTTCAAATTTAGTAAGGTCAAAGTCAGGAATTTGTAGCATATCGTAAACAGTAAAGAAAATTTGAGTTTTAATGAGAGCTTTCAAAGAATACCTTGCATTTTGTAATACATATTACGATACGGGAAATAATTATAGGGGTATTGAATTAAATACAAAATTGCTATCGAGGAATATTTTGTCAGCTTTATAATGAAAGTCGAAATTTATTTTTTCAGCAAATTCTTAATAATGTCTTTATATTGGGCGCTATCTATTTTGTATTACACTGTTTCCGAGACTTTACCCATGTAAATTATACCGTAGGTGAAAGCATTTCTAAAATCAGTCACTTATTTCCTTATACGATGCAAACAAACAATCAAGTCTTTGGTTTTTATAATATTACTATAGAATATGATTTAAGAGGATGACTTAGAATTTTAGGGTTCCGTAATAAACAAGGAATCCTTTCAATTTCGCCATGTTATATTCTGTCCGTCCGTCCGCGGTTTAGCTCAAAAGCTAGAAAGTTGTATATTGTCATGAGTATACTCGGTAATTATGCCGACAAAGTGCTAAAGTAAAATGTCGAAAATATTTTGTAAGATACCTCCCCTATATGTAATGTGGAGATTTATTGATTTAATCGTATGGCAAAATAACACCAAGATATAGGCAAAAACACAAATCTTAAATTCATAAACTTAGCTCCAGAGAAAATACAACACACGTTCACTGCGGCAAGTAAAATCATAAACCTTCATCTGGTGAGGCGGCGGATCAAAATGCGCCCCCAATGATATTTCCGGCAGTGCGTGGCAGGTTTTTCTAGACCCACCAGCATTAGGATAGATTAAATTGCTATAACTTTGTGGAAACATATTGTATACATTTATTTTTTATATTGTTAGAATGACCTTGAACCCAATTTCCTTAGGTTTGAAATGAGAAATAAACCAGGAAAAGCGGCAGACAGATATCGACCTGAACCGCACTAGAAAGTATTTTAGTAGAGATGGGACAGAGAAAAATAAGGGGACATCGAAAATAAAATAGAATTATCGTAAAAGAACTGAAAAATGTTTTTATTTACTTATGGTTGTCTTGGAAACATGTTACGCAAAGGTTTTGGTTGCATTTCCTGCAATATTTTTTTATTTTCATAACTCTTTTTTTGCGTAGCATTAAAGGTTTTCCGCAGTCTGTCGTAGCACCCTGCACAATTTCTTCGTTTAGCGCTCATCTCAAGGACATGGTCATTGTCCTTAGGTTTTACTTGATTTTCTGAAATGAATTTTTTTCTTAATTCCGTGTGATTTATTAACCATTTATGAGTTTTACCACAGAACTCGCGAAACTAAACAACTTTCAATAACTGCAGGGCGAATTACTCTATTTTTCAAAATTTGTATTTTTCTTTTATTGCTTGCCATTGTTGAGTAAATTGAACGCTACGTCAGATCAGCTAGCACAACACTAATTGGCGGGGCGCGCGTTCTGTGCGATATTGGGTCGAAAGCTGCCTGTGGGAAGGGCGGGCCGAAATAGGCCCGCTGCCGCACTCAGCGGTTGTTTTTCACCGTCAGTGCGTGGTAGACCGATAAAAGCCTGCCGTTATGTTTTGATGGGGAACACCTACAATTTTGACCGCAAGAAGAACTATATATTTGTCTCTGTCGAATTTATATAAACACCGGAGATAATCGTTTCGCACTTGCGAGAAGGACATAGTTTTCTTCGCTGCACCAGCTGAAATACCGCGGCAGGCCCATATCGACCTGTTACGCAGTGAACGTGTTAACAGTTTCGTCACTAAGAATGAACAGCCCTACGATTCTGTAAAAATCCAAACCCGAATTCGAATTCACTCAAATGTGCGAATTCACTTAAAAAGCGGCATCCGCTCAATCTTGGATTGGTAATAACGTATCGTGGCATAAGTGAAATAAGTTTCGAAATGACATAGGAATGGAATATCTGAGACACGTATAATCAATCAATATTTTTTTGTATTTCCAAAAAAAAAAATGAATCAGTAGAATTTCTTCACTAAATGACGCGAATTCACATGAATAAATTTGAATTCGGGTTTGGTTACCTTTGGTACGTTTTTGGTACCTTTAGTGTAGCAGGTTACTGGAAATTCCTCAATAATGTGCCGAATACTCTGTTCTGTGGCACCACAGTGACAGGCGGGAGAATCTGTCTAGCCGCAAAGATAGTTGTATAAGGCGCAGCGGCCATGCCTAGTGCGTAATCGATTGGGTTATACCAGGCAAGCTTAAGAAAATCTTCTCCTCCTTTTTTTTGCACTCGGCACAATTACTGGACCAAATTTACCGGCCATCACCGAATTCCATGACTGCAGCCTATCACGGTTTAAATTAAAATTCAGGTTTGCACTAATCCGGTAACAAAAATCTACGTTGGATTCCGGGATTGTAATTGGTTCTTGAATGGGTATAGAAATTCAGAGTGTATAGAAAGGCCTGGATTTTGGACGATCTTGCGCATCTCTCTCATTAATGCTTACTTTCGTCTGAGATCAGGAGGGGGAATCCTACAGAGGACGGAAGCCAGTGACATGGGGTGAATCGCAGTATACCGGAAATAAGTTACATGGTTTTGTTCAGTTTGATGTAAACCCTTGAAGTGTGCGCACTGGACAACTACACTGGACCGCAAAGAAAACGGGTCGGTTAGAAAATCTTCAATAACTTGAAAACTACCTCACCTAGCTTTATGAAATAAAAACTCAATTAAAGAATATTTAATGTTATTTAACATAGTATATAAAACCTTTTTATTTACTTTAGATAATTGTGTAAGAAAACTGGCAATGAAGATAATGGTTGTTTTTCAATTTAGTTCTAAAAAATCAAAGCATTTGTTTCGCATTTGTTTTAGTTTTGACATAAAAACTACAATAAATATCGTGTGTTTGTCATACAAAAATTGTATTCTGAAGTCATCATGTCGTTAACCCCTGAAGAATGCACCAGGATCCTGACAATGCTTGAAGATGGGCGCAGTCAGCGCAATACAGCGAGAACTGTTGGTGTGTCTTTCCACAGTTCAGCGGGTACTCCAGCGTTTCCATGAAACCGGATCCAACCTAAGAAGACCAGGAACAGGCCGAACGAGGTGCACGACTGCGCGGGATGATCGCTATATGGTGTCAACAATTTTGAGAAATCGATTTCTTACGGCCGTTGAGGTAAAAAATCACCATTTACGAGCTGGAGGAAACTATCTGAGTACAGATACAGTAAGGCGACGTCTGGCTGTAGCAAATTTGAGACCATTAAGGCCTGCAAATGGCCCAAAATTAGAAAGACACCACTTAAACTCAAGGCTGAGTTATAGCAGAGAACACGAAACTTGGACTCTGGATGACTGGTCAAGAGTTATGTTTTCAGACGAGTCTAGATTCTGTTTATACAAGCACGATGGGAGGAAAAGAGTGTACCGAAGACCGGGAGAGCGCTATAACCAAGCTTGTATAGAAGAAAAAGTACCATATGGCGGTGGCTCTATACACGTGTGGGCTGGGATTTCTTCCGAAAGCCATACTGAGCTAGTAGTGATAGAAAATGGCAGTTTAACAGCAGAACGATATGTGAATGAAATTCTTAATGACTATGTTGGTCCATTTTTAGTAGATTTGGGCGAAAATGCTGTTTTTATGCAAGACAACACCCGCCCGCATACAGCTCAGATAGTGTTCGACTATTTTCACGAAGTAGGTATCACATGCATGGAGTGGCCAGCACGAAGCCCCGACTTAAACCCCATCGAACATGCATGGGACGAACTGGGACGACGTGTACGTCAACGGAATCCGCCGCCAATCACGCTGCGTGAATTGAAAGGAGCTTCGATCGAGGAATGGCAGAACATTCCGCAGCATCGCCTTAAAAACCTTGTGGAAGGTATGCCGAATCGCATAGCCGCAGTTTTGCAAGCTCGTGGAGGCAACACGAAATACTAACATGCGTAAAAACGTCACATCTTTATACAATTCATATTTACGAAAATGTCAGAAAAACTACCTTTTTCATTCGTTTGACATTTATTGAAAATAGACAACTTTTAATTTGTATTTTTTTATATTCAATAAATTACAATTAAATAATCTTTAATTTAGTTTTTATTTCATAAAAATAAGTTAAGTAGTTTTCAAGACATTGACGATTTTCTAACCGACCCGTTTTCTTTGCGGTCCAGTGTATATCATTTTTATTTCGTCTACATCATAGTGTGTGGTTTTGTTGGGTAGGTCTTCAAAAACATTGGAGGCTTAAAAAATCATCATACATTATAAATAGGTGATTTATCATGAACTGATAAAATGCTGTAAATATGATTGTTTGAGAAATCTTATTTCTCAGATCCCACTTGAATAGCAAAATCCCTTTTGTTATGGAAATTTTGAATAACGAAAGTATGTCCAAACCTGAGACAAAAAGTAATTTTTATGTATATTGGTTCGGCCGACAGGGAATACAGCAGAACAGGGAAAACCTTTGAGCCAGCCTGTTGGCCGTTAAATAATTTGACTGATATGCTTACTCTTGAATTTCAAAAATTGCTTTTTATACTGTTCAAATATTCTTAGGTACGTGACTATTATGAGTTTTTGTAAGTAATCTTTTAAAAAGGAGGTTTTTGAATACCTTGCTTCATAGCTTGGCAGAAAAAGTTTACATTTGAATTGCAAATATCTTTAAAAAAAAATCTTTGAATAGACTCAATTCTCTTAATATACACATCGTACTGGGGATTCCAAATTTCTCAAACATATTCCAGGATACTACGCACGAACGAACATTTCAAAATTTTATATTAGATGTGTTTCGAATGTTTTAGATTTTCTTTAAAGAATTTTATTTTTAAAAGTGATGACTAATAAACTGCATCAGGGTTAGATTCTCCTTGATTAAGTTCACTTGTAGATATTGCGACATTGCATTAGTCGCAGTATCAATTCGCTAATTGGTCTACCACGTCTACAACTGACTCCTTGTCCCACATTCATACAATTGCTCACGCGGCGCCATGTTCGCTTACCTCGTATCACTTGTGATTATAATAGGTGCTGATGGTTTCTGCGGCGAAAATATCAAGTGGTCCCATCATTTAAACATAGAGGATGTCTATGGGGTGTGGTATGGTGTTGGTTACGCTCAACATACTCCTGACATGACAGACAAACCAAATGAAGTAGGGTGTGTCGCCCTTTACATCAGCGACGCTAGTACTGAAGTTAGTAATGACTGGCTGGATTGGTCTGTGAGTATATGAAGTATTTTATTTTCGCACGCTTGTTTGTTGTGTTTAAATTTATTCTTAACACGTAAGAAGGACTACGGTAAGCTAGAATAACGTTCGTTTATTTATATTATTATGTTCTTACAATAATCTAATATTTAAATAGGTATATGTAATAATTTTGTCAATACGTGATTCCTTTTTCATTTAATCGCATGCTTTAATTTAATTATTATCATTATAATTTTAGTAATGTGACATCGCTATATGTTTACATTTATAGCGGTGTCTATTAGATATTAACGAGGGGCAAACTAAAAGTTCTTAAATAAATCAAAAACTGGGCAAAGTAGCAAGTTATTAGTTATAATAGGTATATATTTTCGAAAAGTTTTTATTGTTTTCGATATTCCTTTATTTCACGGAGGAGCTCGAGATAGTAATTTTTTTGACCATCCATTCTATATACGGTCCTTGCAAAACTTGCTTATACGGAAGTTAAGCAAGTTTTGCAAGGGACTGAATTTCCTTAACACTTCGACATCGAGCTCCTTGAATATATCGGTCATATTCAAATAAAGATGTATTTGGAACAACATAAACATTGAAGAAAAAAAAACATTTTTAAACCATAGATAAAATTAATGCGGTCTATCAATACCTCTATTATTATACGTTATTTTTAGCTACGTCGTCGTAACTATTCAGATCAAAACTGGAGATCTTACAGAAGCAATCCATGGTCTGATACACCTATGTCAGGATCTTGGCTGGACATTCGTGTAAAGAGAAGAGCCAAGCGGAACATGTACACTGAACGAAGGTTACGAGTTATATGGGACGAAGACGGGCAGACAATGGAGCAAGTATATATTTATACCCCCGACGAACCAGGGCTTTGGGTGGCAGAGAAAATGCGGCCTGGAGAGCTTGAGTTGATATCAAGAGGAATAGGCAAGTAATCTATACTAATTTTATAAAGAGGATATATATTTGGTTGTTTGTTTGCATTCAATTAGCTTCCAAACTAATGGACTTTTTAAAAATTCTCTCATCTACGGGTAGGTATATTATAGGCGGGTAACGTTACGGCAAAACAGCTTGTATAACATAGTCTTTGACAAACTTAAATAAGACCTTAAATGTATAAATCTCTAATTTTTAAATTTATTTTACAGATGTTTGGTATCCTGACGATCCACCTCGTCATCCGGAAGTGATTAAAATACTTAAATTGAATCGGGACATGATGATTATCAATCATTGTTCCGATTCTGGTAATGAAGGAATCTTCTCGCTTATACTCAGACGTACTTCTACTAGAATGGACCGGTCTGAGTGGTTCGACCTCCGACGGCAGTTCTATTCATTCGATCTACCACCGATGCACAGGCATTCAGCTATTTGTGCGGGATGTATTCATTGTGGTTCAGTTCTGCTAATGTTTTCACTTTACACTTTGATTGTATTGTTGCGTTCGATAACATCTCTGAATTTTGTTACCTAGATATTTGTATAGAATAAATTTTTAACTACATCTATATTTAAAGATGTTTATCGGAACACTTAATATCTTATATATTAGCAAGTCACATTTTAAAAATTCATAATCTGTGATTGTCTCTGAAAACACATAAATATAGCTAAACTCGCATATCAAATAGACAGTAAGCCGCGTGCGTGCGTGTCATTCCTTATTTCCATGATTTACGAAGCAAGACAGAAGACAATAGTTTCATTCATAATTCGAAATGCAACTTGAAAAAAAAACTAAATATAATTATGGGAAACAAACATAAATAATTCGGTGAATATGTTAATTATTTTACTTTAACTGCGTATATTTGTTAAATATAACATTGTGGATGAGAAATTGATAAAATATATTAAGTATACAACGTTATTTTCCATCTGAAATTTTCTTGTTTATTTTATGTAATAAGCCATAGAATTACTTTATTTAAATTGTAAATAATGAATGTCTATTTATATTTTTGCGTGTCCAATAAGATAAAGTTAGGTATACAATTGAGAAGTTTGAATTTATGTAATATGGTAAATTATTGAATGATTTTTAATTTATTAAAAGTGAAATTGTAAATAACGAAATTTCGTAGTATATAGAATAAATTGATATTTGAAGGCTGAATTAATAATTGTAACATAATAAAAGTATAATTGAGAAAGCAACTATTTTTATTTTTTGATTTTAAATAAACAAGGGGGTCTCAAGGATTTCCATGTGACCTAATTTTTTTTTTCGTATATATCTGTTTTACTATGTGCTTTTTAAAAGATTATGCCATCGAGGAGGTCTGATGGTTAGTATTTTTATATTAACTACTAAGAACATATACATATATGTTCTTAACACACACAAAAAACACTTCACGAAAAAGAAATAAAAATATTCTTACTAGTTTTGATCGATTACCTTTATAGGGAAGGTCTAAACTCCAGCAATAGGTTTAAATTATGAAGAAAAAAAGCTAGAAGAACTACATAATCTTAACTTCAAGACCTAAATTATATACTAAATAGATAATCTAAAATCTCATCAATCTTTACAAGGTAAAGTAAAGGTAAAATATAAAAAAAAAAATAATAACAAATCTCTTGTTTTAATAACGTTCTTTAAATAGACATTAATGTAATTATAAACGGCTAATGGGATTAAATCCCTGGGGTTCATAAAATCACATTATCCATACACCTACTATATGTAATTACGTACACAAGCAATACTGTTTTCCTCTCTGAAAATTAGCATAACATAATAGAATATAGAATAGAGCTTTAGAGGTAACTGCTACATATGCTGTCGCGGGCTTTTTTTGGAACTTTTAAAGGGGAACAACTTCGTAGTACATGATTTTCCCGTAACTATCACCGTTTACCCTGCCCACACATGGAAAGCTCTCAAAAAGAATAATATTTTCCAGTATTTACGATACATTTCATCGCAGCTCAACTCTTATTAGACTATTCAACACAAGAAATATAATAATTCAATTCAAACCAGTTGTTCCTGAAATAAGCGAGTTCAACCAAACGAACAAACTGTTCAGTTTTATTATTAGTAGTATCGATTCATTGTCTGATATATCTTGTGTGGTCGAATGTGATTTATCGCACAGTTAATAAGGATTAACCTGCTCTATCTTTTTATAAAGCGAGGACTAAAATTAGTATACGGTTTAAACCATTGGCCGCCTAAATCAAATTAACAATGACAGAAGCGGAATCGTATTGAGACATCTTGACTTATTTTTATCATATAATGGTTTGTACTGAACCTGTTACTAAAGTTTGTATTCCTTTCATAATAAGACGGGCTGAGGCGCCTCGTTTCAGAATTGTCGATCATAGCACTTAATTCTACACTCTTAAATTAAAAATAAGTTTCTCGTCAACTAATTATTAAGATTTCATCCTTCGCATTAGGTAGAGTACTTACATATAAATTATTTACATAAACAATCAATCAATCTTTAAGGTTTAGTTTAGACGAATTTATGCTGTAATGAACGTTCTAAATTTGAAAATTTCTATTGGTTATTGGCTAATTGCACAAACGTCCATTAAGGTTTAATGAAGCCTTCAAGCCCTAATGAATGTCAAATTTGTATCAGTAATGTCGCTTTAAACTTATGACAACTTTAATGAACGTTTGTGCAACTGGCTGTTAGTCTCTTTAAACTAATGAAAATTTACAACCTATTTTCGGAGATTTACTTATTTATTTTATTTTCATAGGTGAATCAACAATTATTAAAACAAAAATGTTAACAAATTATGAAGCATAGAAATAATTATAGATTCACACAAATGACAACTAATTAACTTTGAGACACTCCAATGAGACACTCAAACCAATGAAACCAGTAAGATAATAAAACAGACAAAAAATGTATTACATAATAAAAAATAACAAGACCTTCCGGTCAAATGAGCAGTATCACAATATTTTGCCTAGCTGAGTTACTCCAAATCAATTTTGCTTATAATTGGTGTTAGAAATGGGAATGTGTATTGGCTTAAAATAACGAAGATTCTTTCTTGGAACGTTAAGGCTTAATAGTGAGAGAAACTCAGGGCAATCAATAGTATTAGAAGCTATGTTTAATAAAAACATAATATCAGAAAACTTTCGTCGATTTTCTAATGTTAAAAAGTGATGTGATGTGGTTCTTACGTAAATCAAAATAGTTACTAGAATCATACGTGGACCTCGTGCGGTAACATTGATATTTCAAAAACTTTTTTGGACGTTTTCATTATATCGATGTTAATAGCGTATCTAGGATTCCACAGCTTTAAATGTTTTAACATTGGTAAAGTCCCTACAGTAACGATATAGGAACCCGAGAGCTTTAGTTGCTTTAGATATTATAGCATTTATATGCTCATCGAATAACAACTTATTATTATGTAGTACTCCGAGGTCTCGCATAGATTGGACACGTTGTAAGCTAAGTTGTTGAAGTTTGTAATTGAAATATTCTTTCTACTGAAAGTCATGACTGTGCATTTGGTTGGGTTTAAATCCATATGCTGACTGCAGTATTCTTCAAGTCTGTTCAGATCGCGTTGTAATGACACGGCATCTTTAAGATCATGTATTTTGGCATATATCTTCATATCATCTGTAAAATAGAGAAGATTCGATGTATGGAAACACGTATCAATGTTATTGATGAAAATAACGAATAGCAATGGACCATACAACTAGCCTTGCGGAACGCCACTAAGAATTGTAACCCAGCTTGAGATGTAGTTATTCATAACTACAGTTTGTCAGCGGTTATCAACGTACGAGGCAAACCATCGTAACTAATCACCGTGAATACCAATTAGCTGACGCTTATATAGAAGGATATTATGGGAAATTCGGTCAAAAGTCTTACTATAAACGGTATATTACGTCAACCTGGTCCCCCCCATCCATAGCCTTTGCGAGAAAAGAATTTAATAAGATCATGTTGGATACAGTTGACCGCTCTTTAAGTAAGTCGTGTTGTGACTGACTAAAACTAAAGTAAGAGAACTATACACCTGCTCATAAATTATCTTCTCAAATAATTTAGCAATTACACACAGCTTTACAATAGGTCTGTAGTTAAAACCGCTTATGAACAGGGGTTATAAAAGCACGACTCTGAGCAAGGGATCGTTTTAATAAATTTGTATAGGCTTCTAAGTCCGTGCACAGTTAATAAGAAATTGAGAAGGTAATTTATCAGGGCCTGTTAATTTATAGGGGTCAAGGCTTTTGAGTAGTTTATATATAAGCATATGAATAGTTTACTATGTAACCTAATGTTAATATTAGTCTGTTAATTAATGGACATTTGTGCAACAGGGCATGAGTATTGTATACCCTAAGTGTACTTCCACATCTTAAATTTTAACCCTTAGAAAACTCTTGATAATTTTTGTAGCTTTTGTCTATTACAAGAGATTTCTCTTTTGCCCACGTTTTCCATCTTGCCCTCCCTTCTTTCAGAGATGTACAAAATACCCTGTACAAAGTATCTGGAATACAAGATACAAAATACTTTTAAATTAAGTATTTCAGATACCAGATACGAAATACTTTCGAGAAAGTATTTGAAATACTAGATACAAAATAGGTATCTTATAAATACTTTTGATAAATACAAATACTTTTCTAAAAAAGATTTGAATTAAAGTTTGTTTATTAAAGACTACAAGACCTAAATCTTGGACCAGATGGGACCAGGGATAAAGTGGATTTTTTAAGCATTTTTCATTTTTAGAAACAATTTTTACAAGCTTTTATTTAGTTTCACCTGTACCGGTGTTTGTACTCAAATCTTACAGCTAAATTTCACCCACTTTTCCTCCGTTTGGAGATAACAAATTAAAAAAGCCTGATATGTTTTTTTTTTGTCAATCACAATGTAACATATAAAAATGCAAATATTTAATACATCAGGTTAAATTACTTTAAAATTTTTAGTTCCTTTTTAATAATAAGTTTTTTCAATATAGCATTGTGAATGAAAAATTGCTCAAATATAAATTGCTCAAATATACAAGAATAATTATTTAAATTTAATACGACGACGTATTACGACGTAGACCTGATGAGAAAATTACGAAAAACTGAAAATTCATTTTTTCACCACCAAATGACACCAAACAATGTTTGGATTCAAGTTATTTCAACTAAATATTCATTGCGTTGATGATTGGACACTTTCTTTTTGTATATATGTATGTTTGAGGCAAAGATATTATAAAATGTAAGAAACAATCTTTTTATAAAGTATTTTATCAGAAAAAGTATTTAAAAGATACTAAGATACTAAACTAAAGTAATTAAATAGAAGATACAAAATTCTTCCTAAAAAAGTATTTAACAAGATGAAAATACGTATTTTGTATCTTGTATCTGTATTTCAAATACTTGTATCTAAGATAAGTAACATCTCTGCCTTCTTTACTGTATTTTTACTGAGATATTAAGTGCATGATGTATTTGTCTATAAGAGATTGTCCAATACGTTTATAATTTACCGAAATATAAGTGCATAACAAATATTGTAACAATTGTTGATAAAATTTCAATTTACCTATAAACCTATATGAAAGTACATAAAATTATAAAAGTAATTCTTGAATAAACATTAATTGCTGAAAAAATTGCAATTTACCTTTAAAACCTAAATGAAAGTACATTAAAATATAGAAGTAATTCTTAAATAAACTTTAATCCTTATGTCAGTTAATACTTCCAAGGGTTAATATTAAAAAAAATTACCTGAACACGATAAAATCGAAAAATACTGAATGAGTTTTGAATGCGGTTTCACTAATGGATGGAATAATGAAAAAGTTAAAATTTACGCTATTTTGAATAAAATGGAGTAATTTCGAGTTATGATTATCATCAAGAGTTATGCTGTAGCTTAAGAACTGAAAATTAAGCACGCAAGAGCTTTGATCCATTTGAAAAAGCTGGCTACACAAAAAAGTTCCATATTTAGCTGGGATACTATTTCAATGAAAACTTTACGAATCAAATACTCAATTGCGTTGAAACCAAACCGTGTTTCCCCCACTAATAGAGTCGTGGACAAACCGCTGCCACACCAAAGTATATCTCTGAGGGAAAACTCGGCCTTAATTTGTAACAGCTCTTCTGTTATA